AGGAACGGTCAGATGAGAAAAAAATGGCACAAATAAAAAAGAAATATATATTTGAGCGAAATATATGTGCCGAGTGAAAGAGAAAGAGAGAGATCAAGTGCAATTCGATAGTTTAAAACAAATTGATTTAGAATTTTGGAAACAAAAGAAAAATGCCAATGAAATATGCTTTCAATTCCAATATAATGGGGATCGGAAACATTGGCCCGAACAAATAAAATACAAAAGTATCGATTTTGGTGGAAAAAATGTCGAAATGAGAGTGAGTGAGAGAGAAAGGAAAGGAGGGAGAGATAGAGAAGGAGAGAGATCGAGTGAGCTAAAAAAACAAAAGAAGCAAAAATTGCTTCAAATAAACAATGTCGCACATAAATTGTGTCAATTCGGGAGCGTACATTCTCAATCGTCATAGTGCTTGGAACGTTTTATCGGACATTTTCACTGTGAACTACAGATACACATAACGAGTTGCACAGTGTGTCACACTTTACATTGTAACGAACGATAAACATTTGAAAAATGCTACATTGTACATAATTGACGTTATTGTTTAACAAATTGAAAAATTGAATATTGCACTAGAGTCACCCATTGGATAAACACTCATTCAATGCCGAATCTCCCCTGAAGCACTCGCTAATAAAATCGATGGCATTATCGCGAGAACGACAGAAAAAACTGCACACCAAAACCGTTCAATGAGCAATTTTTTTCGTGTTGATTCGTTCTCGCTCTCGCTTTGGCACTCTCAATTCCTCGGGTAATAAAACCAAAATTATTTTACAACCACCATTGATTCGGGTTGCATCAAATATTCCATCCGAAATTGAAATGGATTTTCAATTTATTGATTGTTTTATTTTCCATAACGAGCAATAAAAAGCAACGCAGTGCTTCATGAAAATGTTTAGCGAAACATAACGAACGGTTCTAAAGAAGCGGTGTTGTGTGTGAAACCTGGTTTCCTCTTTATGGCAGTTTTCGGGCCGTTTTTTGCTCTGTTGTTGTTGCAACATCATACTGATTTGATGCTGCTGCTGTTGCTGCAGCACACAAGTCAAAAGATTTGGAACATCATGATTGTAATGGGAGAGAGCGAAGGACACAAAGAAATGGATGGGAGGCAAAGTGAAAATAGGATAATTTCCCATGAACATTTTCATTGAAATAATTAAAATCGAAATAATTGTATAAATGGACACATTGCCATTGGAATGGCTTTCACAATTGTTCATTGAATATCGAATTAATCATGATTCATGTTCTATTTGGCCATTGGGTTTTGTGTTTGTGTGCTAAACACTAAGCACATTCCATATGTGATTTCCATTAGCCTAAATGCCTTATTAAATATGAATAATTATTGCACATGCTTTGCCAACTTTTTTGTTGGCGCACTTTGTAACAACATCTAACTGTGGACGGAAAAATGGACGCAATTCAATGCGAATTGAAATGGTGTGTTTTCTCATTGTTATTTCTCCTGAAATGATCATAATCATTTCGGACGGAGGCGAAACTGAATCCATTTTCATCGTGTGCTGTTGGCTTCGTTCATTCGTGCTGTTGTTGCTGTTTTTTATTCTGAGTTGTTTCTACTATTCTCCCGCTTGTCCGCGTTTGTTTTGTGCATGTGCAATGACCGAATACGAATTTATGTGTTTTATGACTCCGGGGAAATCATAAAATAAATATATTTTGCGCGTTTCACCGAGTATACTTTGTTCAGCCATGTTTGCGCGTCGCTCGTGGCTAATATGCTATTACGATTTTACACCGTTGCCATTTGCAAAAGGATGGGGCCGATATGCAGAGGATATAACACATCAGTGTAAGAGAAAAACGCTTCGTTCACCGGCTGAACCATGAGATTTAAATTCGTTCACACAATTTCATGGTTCTTCCACATCTATATAAAGCGGGTATGAGTGGCGCGCGCGAGAGTTACCGCATTGCTGCCAGCCAAAACAACTGCAAAACCATATCTCTCAATCGTTCGGATTCTTTAATTTGTACGAGCAAATGTTTCGACTTTTTCGTCGAAACGGAAAAATAGCATCACATATTTGAAATGCGGGATGAAGCCGAGTGCAAATACTGTTTGTTAGAGAGCGACTAACGCAACGAAACATTAAAACTGTTGTATGAATGCAAACGGGGCACATCGATTCAATCGCACTTGCTTTTTGCCTTCGCTCTCTGCTCCTGCTGAGCACATTTCAAGCACTGAAACATGTAAATGTTTCACCGGGGCAATATGTAAATATTGCGCGCCTGTGATTGTTTCACTGCGCTTTCATTATGTAACCATCGTAATCATCGTCCTCGTCCTCGTCGCCGGAAAATGAAATATATAAAGTTTTCATGTGTTGTTTATTGGTTTCGGAGCAAACGAAAGAGCCATCAATATGTTACGGTCGTTAATTAAAAATTATTGCACATGGCGCAAAAACATAAACATCCTAATGGAAATGTGTACTGCTTTTTCCATCATGCGTTTCTCTCTCTCTCTTTCCCTCTTTCTGTTTGTCTGTGTGTGTTGTGTTCGTGCAAAGCGACCCATTTGCACTTGGCCGACACAAGAATGTGTCGTTCGCTCGGCACAGCATACAATGTAATAATTTTATTGGACAATTAAATCCAATCGAAAGACATCAAGAGGAACCAAATGAAGCATACTCACAATATCACTGACATGAATTGTGTGTATAGAAGCATTTGTATCGCCAAACAATGATCCGTGCACACAATGCTGCTGCGTTGCATTTGCACACAGTCGAGTAAGGTAGGATTTTGTTTTTCGTTTTCATTTCATCTTTCGTTGATTCGATTTCATTCCAGGAATGAGGTGTGTGTTTTTGTCTCAGTCACACGAATATCGATTGTCCGTGCCGAGCTTTTTTCTCCTCGGTGTGACAAAAATGGATTTTATGGATATTTTATAGTGAAACAAAAGTTTGTTATTGGCCCAAGCCAACACCAAAATAATATTGTAATAAATCGAAATCGATTGCAGGCTGAGCGCGCCGGGACACATTTGTTCTGTCGGGGGTGCGTTCGATTGCGTGTGCCATAGCCATTGCAATTCGATGAAGTGAAACATACAAATTTGATTGTATTGAAGTATGTATGCGAACGGTTGAGGGGTTCAAGTTGTGAATATTATTGTGTTATTGGAGTTCGGTGCTTGATCGATTAAATGACCGAGCGAGTGAGCAAGAGAAAGAGAGAGAGAGAGAGAGAGAGAGAGAGAGAGAGAGAGAGGAGGGAGAGTAGAGAGTAGAGAGAAAGCCGCTTCGACATTTCATTGTGGTAGATATATTGGTCGGTGGATTGGTGACATGTGACATGCTGATATTTGTGGATGCTTTCAATGCATTGTTTGCACTAAACAATAAATATGCAGTTGTTGTCGCACCATTAGATCGAAAATTGGTCACGTGTTCTTGAGCGTTGTTATAATGGAACTGCGTCATTGCACGTCATCATCGTCGTCGCAGCCATGGTCATTGTTGTTGTCATTTTCGTCTCGAAAACCAAATATGTATAGGACAGACGACCAATAAATAGTTGTGTGCGTGTGTGCCCTGGTTCCGGAGCTGTAGTCATGGTTTTTTGGGTATCATTTTGATGTGTGATTACTAGGAATGCCATAGACTTGCAAATGTGGCATATAACAAGTGAGTGTTTGAGAGAAAGAGAGAGCGAGAACGAGAGGAATGGAGAGAGAGAGAAAGAGCACCAGAGGCGGAGAGACTGAGATGGAAAGAACGAAATGCATGAACGCAAATGTAATAAAATTGTCCGGGGAACTATTCAAGTGGTCTGTTTCGATAAGCTGTATTCCATCGATCGGAATGCTCGTTTATTTAGCTATATTTATTTACAATATCAACGAAATACCTACCAAATTACACACAATCCCGTTGTAACCAAAGCAAAATTAATCTAACTTATTGACTTTGGTTTATTGTTCATACGGATCGTTTGTGTGTGGGTTTTGTTTATACATGGAGCACACTCCCTTCAATGCCGTTGGCTTGATTGATTTTCCCTTGCAAAACGTTCAATAATAAACTGCACACGCCGATAATTTTCATCCCCGCGCAAGTGATTAGGTGACGCAGTAAAATTGACGATGCCGTTTGCAATATAATACGATGTGGGTATTGTGCTTTATGCGTGTGTTTTGCCACATCTTTTGTTTCGATAACCAACCGTTTTGACTCGGCTTAATCACACACGAGAATTCAATTAAAACCTATGATTTGGCAAAACTTGCGAACGGGCGATGACTTTACGTACACAATTTAATTAAATGGTGTATCAGAAAAAAAGGAGAACCCAACATTTAGACATAGTTAAATCAAGTTCTATAAATCACGAGCGCATTGATGAGGATATTGACGTATCGGATTTATCAAAACCATCACGAAATGTTTTGAAATCATTCTGTCTCGTATGAAAACTTTTCATTTTTATCAGGAATTCAAATCACTGTTTCATCGCATTTAATTTTCACTCTCAAAGGTCACGATCCCCAAAACTTGTTCCATAAAACCAAATCAAAAACACCAGCAAAACTTTGCAAGTATGTGATAATGGGTATAAACAAATCGGCAGACGATTTTTTTATTGCCATTTCATCTTGTCAAAATGCTGCGAATTGAAGTAATAAAATGGAACTGTGAATAAATTGGTGGAAAATGTGTCATCAATTTTGATGCGATAAATGTGTTCGTTCATAGCACTTGAAATGTGATATGAAAGAAAGAAACAAACAAAAAATCGAGTGAAATAAACGCATTTTGGTTTTGCCATCCATTTTGACGACAGTAAAAATGCTTTATGTGTCGTGTTCGTTTTGTTTTGGATGTGCGCTGGTTTTGTGTTGTCCGTGTGTTGACCTGAATGAGTCGCACAAAAATCAAAGATAAAAGACATCGTATAACGGTGTCGAAAGTTGGAAAACAAAAGAAAATGACACTTGCAAAACTTACCTATCATCATAAACGAAGCCCGCATCCAGTGTGTTGAAATAGAGGACAAATGCTAGCGCACAGCAACCCAAGCCTATATAATCCATGCTGCAAAGAGAGGATAAAAGAATAAAACATGAGAAAACCCATCGACGAATAGAAAAACGAAACAACAACAAAAAATAGAAAGCAATTCGATCATGAAAAATGTATGAAGAGATGCTATAAAAATCGTGTTAAAGTGCGCCGCTGACTACGATGATGATGGTGATGATGATGATGACGACGACGGCGACGGCGACCAATTCATGGACAGAAATAATAAAATATAAGTGAAACAACGTCGTGAATCTCAAATAAAATGCTTTTAGATGTGATTTGGACAAAAGTTTCCATTTACGTTTCATTGTCATAAGATGGTTATAGGTGTGTAACAGTTAAAATGTCGCAACAGAACACAGTCGCCCCGGTTGAGATGTCCCATCGCTTCGCAAATCCAAATCAACGATGTCGGCAGAAATGCAGAAAAAAATACCGATTTTATTGTGAAACGCTTGTCGAAATATCAAGCGTAATGGAATTGATGAAAAAGATATTCTCAACGTAATCCGGCAAAACACATAATTTTCGCGTAACGGTCACACATGCATGAATACTATGTGTACTTCATGTAGGATAACAACATTTATACAGTTACAGGTAAAAATGTTGATGGCGTGGCACACAGAACGGAGAGAACACGAAAACAAACAAAAAAATAAATTGCAATAAATTTTGGCGTCGCTGTCACATCGACACTTTTCACGGGCGTTTCTTCGGGAATTATTTTGGAAAAAAAAGGAAATAAATGTTCGTTCGACGTGACAACGTTCCCATAATAATTCGCAAAATTGAAACGCGTTTCGATAGTGCTGCCGCAGTCTGCCAACCATTGGCGTTATTATTGATTTACAAGCACGTACTGGTGACCTAGTAGCACGAAATCACACCGTGCTTTCCTTTGCCTCACTTATGGGGGTGAAAATACTAATAAATGTGCGCTTTTTGACGTCGTGCTAGCGAATATCCGAACTTTCCAGCAAAAACATCATTTGATTGCTGGCCGGGTGGATGCGTGTGCATACCGCTGTCTTCACTTTTCACAAAGAAGCGTCTGAAGGAGAGGCCATCTCAATTTTCATGATTGTTTTGTATACGTCATACTGAAAGAAAATCCTGTCGGCTCCCAATATTTCAGAGTGGGTGACAGAAAATCATGAGAACGCACCGAGAGAGAATGAGGAAAAAACTGAACATGAAAAAGGAGTGTAGTCGTCATTGAGAGTGCACAATGTGATAGAAAATACGTTTCCAACCAGAAAACTAAATAGAATATAAGCAACAACGACGAAGATGACGACGACGACGACGCTGGCAACATCAGCAGCGCAATCTGAGTCTGATCGAAATGATTTATGTTAGTTTGGCTTTTTGACAGTCACAACTTTCTACATTAACACAGACGACAAAAAAAAAAAACAGCACATACAACCAAAACAACACTGAAGAAAACTTCATTTTCTCGTTGCGTTGTTTACTCGTCGGTGTGTGTGGGTTGCGAATAGCTCTATTGTTAGTGCGGTGAACGTTGAACATGGTTTTTTTTTCTTTCTCTCTCTCTCCTTCTCCTTTTCTCCTTCCCTTTTTCTACTTTCTGTTCACTAGCAGCGAGTCGGTTCGTTTCTATGCCATTAAATTCGCCTTCGTCTTGGTTGGCAAAAACAAACTTGGGATTTTGTTTGCGAACATTCACTTACACGTTCACCGATGCCACTGGAAAAATACACACACACACACTTTGCTCCAATGTTTTAGCGAAAATATAAAATCATGAACAAATATATATGTCAACGGAACAAGACGTTCAATGCAACAGTATTGATACCATTTTGCCAATAAAAAAAAACCACCAACCAAAGTCAGAAGATGAAGGGAATAAGCCTTGGCAAAAAGTGTCCATTGCGAAAAGCAAACAATCTCCCTGGCAACTTCAAGTCAGCCAGTCGATTCAAAAACCAGAAAATTCAATATTTGTTCAATGTTCGGGAAAATATGGAAAACTAGTGACAGCTGCTTGAAAGATTGCAACACAATTTCATCCGGAGACATTTCATTATTATTGAAATGGAACGAATCTCTCATGTCTGCCGGGAAATCAGGCATTTCGAATGTGATGCGGATGCGTGTGTAGGAACAAAATCGATATTACTTCAATGATTTGATGACTTTTTATCTAATGTTTGTTCTTCGCTTTTCCACAGAACTTCTGTGACAGAAGTTTGTGCCATTCAATTCTTAGAATTTCACTGATAAATTTTAATAATGAAACTCATGCGAGAATATGCATTGCATGTACGTTGCATAGTAATGTTATATTTATTTACAAAATCAATACCAATAAACGGCATCCACAGTATCAATTTCGAAATGTCAAAGCTTTGGACCAGTTGTCAATTAACGTCAAACTCGAGAGACCACGTAATCAAAATGTCAACACAATCACACAATCTGAGTTGCATTGTATTCAATTATTTCGCTGGACTTCATTCACGAAGAATAGCGAGACAATTGATTTATATTTACTCTTAGCAAATGAATCTGGTTTATTAGTCGTCATAGTTCCAAATGCACTTGAAAAGTCAACGAACTGAAATGTGCTCCGCGGTTGTTCTCTCGTTTTGAATGCAAGGTGTGCATCACAAATGGTTATATCGCTGTAGGCTTCAAGTATTCAACTTCATCATAATACTCATTTTTGCTTTGTATGGCGAGGCGTTGAATGCATATGTACTCACGTGCATTTATTTGAATTTTCTATTTTATTTCGCGCTGTAGTGATCCTTCATAAAACTCACTGTGACGTGTGCAAGCTACTGAATCATTTTTCTTGCTCCATAAATAGAAAAGTCAGGGCCAAACAAAGCGAACGAGAAAGAATGGGAAGAAAGTACAAACAAACAAAGGAATAAGAATTGTGTAAAGCACACTTGAATAGGATCGAAGAAACAATATGCATCACGCGTACGTGAACAATTGCAGCATGACAAAGTCAGTCAGTTTTTGCCAGTTTTTGTCGCAGCGAGTGTGTGTGTGTGTGTGTGTGTGTGTACCGGTGGTTTGGTTGCAAAAGTCAATTTGTTCTTGTATGCTGTGGAAATAAAACACGTAAAAATGCCAAAAAGTTGTTCGTGTCGAGTGAGCAAGGCGCACGAATTACGGAGTTGATTATCCAGCAAGCCTTGTCATATATGGCGAGAGCAATGAGAATGAAGGGAAAAAAAACACAGTGGCACGTTTATAATTTAACCTCGTCAACTGCACAATGCTACAGATACATACATCGAGTGAAGGGAAAAAAAATAACAGTGGTTGAAAATAAGGATTGTAAAGCGAATCCAGAGTATTAAGGTGATTTTAGGTTTTCTTTGTTTTCATTTCTGGTTTTTTTCTTTCTCTCAAATTGCATTTTGGTATGCACAGTGCACACACGGTGCACCGTTATGCTCGTGTCTATACACAAACCCATATCTTCTTCTCTCTGTTTCTTTCAGTGTGTGTATTCGTTGAGCGTGAGAATGCTGTTGAGCCAAATGTGCTGTTAAACGAAATGTTTACATTGTTTTGCGATCAGAGTTCAAATTCAGCAGCATCTCGTCGAGCGTATTCTCATATACACACATACACACACATGCCTGGGAAGTTTGCCCGATTCACTAGCGTACAAAACGCAAACACACCTCGCTGGAATAATAACAAGGCACAACCATATGCATCATGAATTTCTATGTTCTGTTTGTTATTTTTTTCGATTACTCAAATGAGAATGGGGAAGAAAAGTCTCGATAGAAATAAGTAGCGAGAAACGTGTTTAAATCTTCAGCACACAACATGGTCTCGACTTCGAGATAGCAAGAGAGAGAGAGAAAGAAAGAGAAAGATAGCGAGAGAAAGAGAGAGAGAGAGTTTACGTTTGCTCGCTCGCACCCAAACATCCAAGCTATTCGCTGGAAATACGAGCTACATGCAATTGTAAATTGTTATGTGTTATGCAACAGGGGAGTCGTTGCATTTGCCAATTGCTAGCGAAATTGTAGGTTTGTGGCACTGTGTGTGAAAACTTATCTTTTCTTGCAATTGTAGAGAAAGGCCATTAGGTTAAAGGAACTGAAGCGCATCGTACAATATTAAAATCACCTTGCCTCATTCCATCATGCTCTTTCTTTCGTTTTTCTTCAAAATATCGCTATCTTTGCAGCCCGCTAGCACATTCAACTTCTGACTCTCAGGCATTTGGTGTGTCAACCCACAGACTCGGCACGAATGAGCCGACACAAGTAAGAGAAGAAGAAAAAAATTATTGTCGTATGTGCAGAAAAATTTGCTTCAGCATTGTTGCTCATTGTTCCAATACCTTTCTTTTGTCGTAATTCGAATAGTTTCATTCTTTCTCGCTTCAAAGTTCCTGGCTCGTGTCATGTTCTGTTCACCGATTCCTAGTCTGGATTCTCGCAAAATTGCGCACAACCACCATTTTTCTTCTTCTTTCATTTCATTCCTATTCACCTGAACGGAATGCGGAAGAATTGAGTGCAAAAAAAACTTCCTTACTACTTGTGTAAGCGGTACATCACAACAGAGCAAAAAAAAAACGCAAACTTCAGGTAACACCTTGAATATGCTACGAAGCGAAGGGCAAATTCATATTCACAACTTACACAAAATGCTGGGCAATTCGGTGACAAAGGTAAAATGAAAGTTTTATTGCTTTCACACGCAAATAATCAAAGTACTGTCATATAAATTTATTTACAAGTTTCATAAATCTTCGTGAGAAACGGGAAAAATCATATCTGAACCTTTAAATTCAATACTCCATTTCTTCGAGCTCAGAACTTCTTTCGGCATAAAAAAACGCCCTTCAAATTGCGATCAAAAATGAAACTAGCGTGACTATGAACTTGAATTATTCATTTTAATTGACATGAAACTTTGCTATTAGGAGTAACCTATAGAAAGATAACAACGTTTTCGATGTCTAATCAAACCAAATTCAATGGAATTGAATAATT